CAGTAAATATTTTTTACAAAATCCTGCTTTTTTTTTATATTTTTTTTTTTTTTTTATGTGCTCCTCTTTTTTTTTTTTTTTTTTTTTCCTCAAAAAAAAAAAAAAAAAATCCCTAGCTTTCAAGCCTTCCTTGAAGTATTTTTCTTGCTCACCTCCTACCTTTTCTCCAGTACCTGTTTAGGGATTGTTTGAAGAAATACAAAACCAAGTTTTTGCTCAATGTGATTTGTTTATATTCAGATCTTTTAATGTTTTTTTTCCATTAAACAGAATGAGATGGACAGGAATAAAAAACCTATTGCTGTTACCAGGCTCCAGCCAGAACTACATACAGAAGTACAGCCCTGTAATAGAGGTGCAGAACCTCCCAAGAAGGATGCCTTTACTTCTACAGAAGGTTATGAAGAGCTGCTAAATAAGAGATGGCTGGAGGAAGACAGTTGTCACAGGTTAGATGATGAGGTTGAATTAAGAAGTCGACTGTTAAATAAAAGACTTGATGAAGAATTGGATGTTCCCAATCGAAGACATCGTGGATTTGCTAGCCAATCTGTAATTCCTATTAGGAAGCATCACAGACTTGATGAGGATCGTGATTTTGGTAGAAGATACTACAGAATGGACTATGATCCTGAGATAAGTGAAGAAATGGACCCTAGATTTAGATGTGAAAGCGCTTATGACAGAAAAACTCCCCGGGTTTTTTATGCTGAAAGGTATTCTTAATTCCACTTTCTCCTTTATTTCTGTAGTGCTTGTTGACAGCCATGATTTGCTCTCATTGAAAATCAGACAAGATTCACATGTGAAAGCAGGATTTTTGTACTTACTTTAAAAAGGAACTTTGCAATAATTTTTAGAAAAAATATTTAAAAATTGGATCAGTACCTAAGACTATACAACATACATTGGGGAGCATTTTATATATTATGACAAACCAAGGATAATAGAGAAATTACCCCATAAAAAGAAGCCCACGATTCATTTTTATGAAGAGTAGTTTGCCAGAAAACATGTTAGTATTTGAGAGCAAACCCCTGCGCTGGGAACCCAAGATTACATGTATTTTCTTAGTCTCTAATAGTTTTAGCAAGTAAATTTTCAATTCAGATTCCAAAATTGGTTTGACCTTCAATTTTTGGTACATGCCACTACGTGTTAGAAATGTAAAAATATATTTTAAAAAAATCCTTTTTTTTTACTGCATGTCTTGCTAAATGGCAGACTTTAAACATACGCATAGTTGAACCAAATCCTGATGGTGTTAATAGGTGGTAATCTCAGTAATAACTACACAATTTAAATAAACGTTTAAGAAAACCCAAACCAAACAAAAGAGGGTGTTTTAGATAAATCATTCGGGAGGAAAACTAATATTATGTACTGTTCATTATTAAATAGTCTTTACTGTGTTAACTGATAAATCAGTTTGGTTACTTTGACGTAAATTGTTAATCTTTCCCTTCTAGCTCACTCATTTGAAAGGAGAGGAAAAAACCAAAAAGCACAACCTTCCCAATCATTCAGGGTTTGGCAGTCTGGCCACCTTCGGTTATTCCATTGCAAGAACTGGTTGCTTTCAAAAGCAGATGGGTTGTGGTGTGAAGTAGTACCAAACTTGAAACAGATGTGTTTTATACCGCTAAATTCAAATGAAATAAAGCAGTAAAGTTTCTTGTAAATAAAATTTAAAAAGGTGCTTGAAGAGTGTTCATTTGTTCACTTTACAGATCTTGGGAACATGAGTGTTGTAGATGCCTTTTTTTCTTCTTTTTTTTTTTTTTCTCCTTTGTGTTAATGCTGTTGCCAGAATTATTTTACTGCAGTTGCTTCAGTGAAGAAAACAGCACTGTCTTTCCCTTGTTAGGCAAAATAACCACTTTTTTTTTCTAGAATTAACACTTGTAGAAAAAACAGAAGGCAAATTGTACCACTCTCAACAGTGTTAAATATTACGAACGTATTTCGTTGTTAATTGCTGATGGACTGGTTAAATGATCTTTTGAGTCATTGTTTACAGGGATAATTTTCTGGATAGTACTGCAAATTAATAACTGGGAAAAACAAACCCTAAAATGCTCTTCTACTGCAAAAGTGTTTTCTAAATTGAATTAAGTCATGCTTCTTTTCCAGTTTCAAATGCCAATAGAGTTAAAATAACTTCTCTACAAAAATAGCTTTTGATATTCTTTCTCAGCCTTTTTAAAAAAAATCGTAAAGGAATTAAGTAACTATGGAGAAAGTGAAATGTCTGGAAGCATTTGGGAGATGCAGACTAAATAAATGGGTTATTTCAGAGTTTCAGATTGTATGTTCAGATGTGCTTCTAAAAGCATGTATTTATTCATACAATGTTTCTGAAAAAGACTAGGAAATGGAAACAGTGGTTAAATAGATAGCAGGAACAAGATTGCCTGTTTTCTGCTGAATGAGATTCAGAGAAAAGAATGCAAAATACAAAAATTGTTCCACCCTGTAGTGTAATATTGGTAGAAATAAGCAAAGGAGGTTTTAGGGTAGGGTCATCTTGTCCTACAGCTTTCCAGAAAGAAAAATATTAGAAGCTTGACTTGGTGTCTAACAAAGATAACCAAAATGTCTGTATTTTTGAGACAGAAGCTTGACTTGGTGTCTAACAAAGATAGTCTCAAAAATATGGACATTTTGGTTAACAGCAACGTTAATCCTCCATGTTAATTAACACCCAGAAAGATGAATGTCCTCTTTTTACTAGGTAGCTGTTTGCCACTGTCTAATGCAATGGTTTACTTTGTTTCTCAAAGAGTATTTACAGAATTATGTATGTAAAATATCAGCAAGGATGGTGTTTGAACCAACAGTAGACAGTATCATGTTGAATAGAGGTATACTAGTTCTTAGTTATTCCAGAAAACACTGATGGTGCTTATATAAATGTCTGTGACCAGTATATCCCTAGGCAATTCATTGCTTATTTGGAGAGGCCTCTGAAACAGTTTCAGTTCCAGTTTTCTTTTAAAAGAAAGTACAGAAGATAGTCTTATCTTTGTTATTGGCAAACTTGGTGCATCTTCTTAAAAGAAGTTGCTGGACCATCACCTGAATTGCCCGAACTTAAATTTGTACATAAAATTAAGGTTTGGGGTTTTTTTGCTGTGTATTTTCTACTTTGCTGAATTTTTATTGAAAATTACTTTTCATCATTTTTCTTATTAAATGTGCTTTGTAATCTAGTACTTTTTTCCTCCTTCACAAGGAGCTCCACTTAACCTTTTATGAACTATATTCAGTCTCTCTTCAAGAAGGAGAAACACATCTATTAGTTACTGACAGCTCAGCTTCAGAAGAGTTAGCATTTTTTTTTTCTACATTTCAGGCAAAGTCAGCTTTTCCATAACACATTTGATTCATGACAGAAACTAAATTCATAAGGAGAAAGATTTTTATTTGCAGTACTACAGTTCTTGTTTTTAAATGGGCTTTATTAGTTTGGAGAGGCAGGTGTTTGTAACAGGACTTTTCAGAAAGGTTTCTGTTTTGATGGAGGCACAAGGACTGTGGCATATTCCAGCAAATAGAAATGGTGACAGGAAAGTGAAAGGAAGTGCAAAATATTTTGGTTCTTATGAGTGGAATGCTTTAGTCCATCCCCAGCAGCCAGGTCTGTCCTATAAACAGGATACAACAGCTTCTTGATTGAATTGGGCCAGCAGGTCTGGGCCTGCCATGCTAAGCTTGCTGCTTTTTACAAAAAAGGTTGCCTCTTGAATGCAAAGGTTTGTTTCTTTGCTTCCTCCCTGCATCCTTTTATCTGGCTGAAAGCTATGGACTAGGCTTTCTATTTCCTGACTGTGTTTCAGTCTTATGTGACCAGCCTTGTAAGTAGCAGATTGATCGTTATCAAAAAGATCATCTTGATCATGAAAGAAGATCATGTTATGCCAAGAGGACGGATGTCGTTCTTTCATGTTGTTCTTGTGGGTTGTTAAGATGCCAAATCAATGTTTAATAATCTGCTTGCATCCTTTCGCCTTTGATTATTGGCTTTTATTTAATTTATTTAAATTACAGAGATGGGCAGAGCTGTGGATCTTTTTACATAAAAGAATAAGATGGGGTTTTTCTATGTTTACTTAGTATTTTCTTTTGGTTTGCTTAATAGGAATTCCATGTCTCTGTCCAGCTCTGGAAAATATGTAACTTTGTTAGCATCTATTAGGTACTTTATTTTTCATTGAATACCTATTCTTGCCTTATTTTATCAAGATAACTTGAAGTCCTTATTAAAGAGTAGTTAATTTGCAAGGCAAGAAAAGCGTGTAAATTCAACTACCCCAGATCTTTTCAGGAAAAGCTCCCTTGTGTGCATACAATTTTTGGCATCTTTGGAATTACTTGAAGTTTCAATTATATTACTTCATACGTAGATGATTCAAATTTTAGCTCCTGAATTTTTGTATTCACCATGTTACCTGTCTTTGATCAAAAGTCGCCTCTCTCTTTTAAATGGTATCAGGTGCATAGTGAAGGGTAGGTTGTCATTAAAGAAGCTTTTCATATCTGAATGAACTGTTTTACCAGACTTGCCCAATAGCTGTGTGCCGAAATCTGTTGTAGACTTTGTTGGCTCCTGGGGATTAAGAGCAGCAAGATCTGTTTCAATTAATGCAGTGTGAATGCTGAATGCTCTTCAGCTCTCAAAACTCTTAACCAGGCTCAATAGGTAAAGGTTGCATGAAAGCAGGCTTGGGAATTCAAACTCCAGACAGAGAGCTGCCTTGACAATGCTAGCAAAGTGAATTATTTATAGAAATTTTGTGTGATATTTTCAGAACTGGTTCTGCCGTCCAGTGTGCAATCAGGCTGAGGATCCATTTGCATGAAACTGCTGGACCTTCCGTTTCAGATTGGATGTTTTTAGGCAAGCATAGCTGAATATTTTCTATTTCTTTAAGGCCCTATCTGGATGGAATAGTAAGAGATCAACCTGCAGATTATGAAGACGAATTAAAGGAGAGAGCACGTGTGCAGCAGATCTCAAGAACTGGAAATTCTAGGTGTGGTATACAGTGTATTTTTCTGATAATTGCACTGCAAAATCATGGTGAAAGGAAAATGTTTATTTAAAATCCCTAATATGTATCCTGAAATGGCTGATGGTTTTTCTGCGGCTAGGATAGTAAAACAAGAAAAAGGTGTTTCCTTTGAGAACAGCTGTTGAAGCTTTCATGCCAGTTTTCTTTTTGAAACAATAGATCACCTATTCTCCGATTAAAGACTTCTAATGATTAGAATAACGAGGAATCCTTTTTTGATAGTAGTTTTAAATTTCCTTTTTTTTTTCCTCTTGTCTTGGTTTTGCAAGTCCTGAAGTGATCTAAGTGGATGAGGCAGAAGCAGAACACTTGTAAAGCCCTTACAGAAACCCTTGACTGGTACCACTCAGTCTGTCAACATTGTTGAAGTGCTCAACTGAGACAGTGTTTCTGATGGCTTCAGAAACCTCAGGCAAATGAGAACTGTGAGAAATGCCTTTTTGCCAGGCAGTTTCTTCTTTTGCTTGTGATATTTCTTTGGATTTTAGGAAAGCTGTTTGTCATAAATGTATCACATGGTGATGCAAGGGCATCTATCATGTTTCACACAGACTGCAAGTAAATTCTTGAGTTTGATCTTTCCATTTTCTTTTTTGTCTTTGCCAGAAATCAGGTACAAATTAGTTCTTCAGCTAATGAACCGGTCAAGTCTGCAGCTGAAATGCCGTATGCAACAGGCCTTGTTCTTGGTATGTATAAAAACCTAACTAATAACTCTGAGTTAGCTTTTCTTGGCATATTTTATTTTTCTTTGGGAATAATTAAAAACTAGAAAAATTAGATTTTTCTTTGTGCTAGTTGTCCCCAAGACTGGTAAATAAGTATTATTTACATAGAGAAAACAAAAAAAGAAAAATATGTTCCATTTCCCCCTTAATGTAACAGGGCTTTCTAGTTAATTCTGAAGAGCCCAAGTTTCTTCTTAGATTTCATTACCAGTTTAAGGCCCAGATACATTCTTAAGTTTTTTTATGAAGTGAAGTATAGGAGAAATATTAACCTTTGCATTGTTAAAGACACAACTTGGTATTGCATTTTAATTGCAGAAATATGGGAAATGGTACTGTTCACAAACTTGTGCAAGAACAAATGATTCTGATCATCTCTTTACTGCTTAAATGTAGCCATAAAATTTAGCAGGGAACATTACTATTGAGCATAGTAGAGAGAAATACTGTTGAAAACATAGCATTCCTAGCTAAATTCAGAAAATTATAAGGCAAGACTAAAAGAACTATAGTCGTTCTTCAGATGGGAGCCTTTGAAGGCAAGGTAGGTTTGAATTGTGGAAAAATTGACTAACAGTTGTCAGAATAATTTCTATTTATTTTTACATTTGAACTTACCTGATCTTCAGTGCTATATGTGGCAGCTCAATTTTTTTGGAACTGTTTAAAGGCAGCATTAAAACAGTGGTGTTGTAATGATCAGTCTCTCTGATCTGTTTCAGTCACCTCACTTGTAGTAACTTGAGTACGCGAAGTTATGAATTTGTATTCCTAGCAGTCCTGGTTAGGAGAAGAATATCGTTAACTATGTTGTATAAAGATTAAGTAAATTAAAACTTGAAATTTTTGGAAATGAGAAGTGACTTCAGAGTCCCCAAAAATCAAAAACCAAGAGGTTATCTTGCACGTTTTGGTCACTTTACAGTCCCAGCACAATAACTGAATAAAAAATTCAGTCAGTCATGCATCATGGTGGTGGTGGTTGTTGTTTTGAGGGTTTTTTGTCTTTTTTTGTTTGTTTGTTTTACTTTCTTTGCGGCTTCCTTCACTTTATTGTTCAGGTCAACTTCACTGGAGATCCACAGTGACTTTGTGTATGGAAATATGTTAGGAGTCCTTGTGTCTGATAGTCACACTATATAGAAAGTGGTGATGATGGTTTTTTTGTTGTTCTGTTTTTAAAATAATAGAAGACACCACACTTATTGTGGGGGAACTACCACAAGTTGAAAGTTTTTTGGGTTCCTTAAAATCCATGTGAGATGTTATCACTGTTTCCTTTTACATATACATATCTGCCAATACTTTGCTAATTCTTAGTAGTCATGGGAACCATCCTAAAAGTGGAGCTATTTGCTTTCCTCCCTGTGCGTTTGACTCTCTTCAGTTTTAACTTTCATTTTTATCCAGAGCAGTGTCTCATAATTTTGGAGTGCCGTCATGTATCTTCCTTAGCTGAGCATTAGGGGAAAAAAATACAAAATTTAAGTAACTTTTTTTAGTCGCTGTCTTATCACATAGCTTTGAAATTTGTAGCTTTCTGTCTATACAAAACCAGGCAAACTAGGAAAATAACAATGAAAATTTTAGTAGTTTTGATCATCATACTCCAAACAAACTGCATATTAAAACTAGGTTGGGGATTTTTTTGAGTCAGTAAAGATCCGGTGTAATTATGCACATTCCCAGATCGTATACTCTTCTGTGTTTCATGTTTTAAATTGACTGAAATGCAATGGTTTTTTCCAGTACCTTTTGTGTATTTTGTGGAGCATTTACACAAATGTGTGGTCATTTCCATTAGGTGGTCAGGACCGAGAACTTCTCCAAAGGAAAAAAGAGAAATACAGGCAAGAACTAATAGAGCAGATGGCTGAGCAACAGCGAAATAAGAGACGGTAATGGAAAGTTACTATATTTTTAAAAGATAATGGCTGAAATTTAAAGGAATTTCATTAACTCAATGTGGTAAGAATAATTTTCATAACTAAGGAATTCATAGAATCATAGAATCATTGAGGTTGGAAAAGACCTCTAAGATCATCGAGTCCAACCGTCGAACCAACACCACCATGTCCACTAAACCATGTCCCGAAGTGCCTCATCTACT